AAACCCTACAAGCCTAAACCCTAAACCCTAAACCTTAAACCCTAAACCCTATAAGCCCTAAACCCTAAACCCTAGAGCCTTCGAAGCCTGCAAACCCTCAAAGCCAAACCGACCCAGGACCTTGGAGGTGAACCTCTTCGGCGCCATGCGGCTCACTGACGCGCTGTTGTCGGAGCTGCTGGATGAAGCTCGGAACGCGCGTGGGCTTCTGTGTTGAGGTCTGTATATGGGAGTTTCCGAAAAATTGGGGGTACCTTATTTTGGGGTCCTTATAATAAGGATCCCATTATTTAGGGTACTATATCAGGGTCCCCTATTTTCGGAACCCCCCCTATAAGCATGCGCTTTAGGGTTTAGGGTTTAGGGAAGCTTATTCCCAATTCTCAAGGCCCCGACGCTTGGGCCTTTGGGTTTGGGGTTTTAAGCTTAGGGTTTTTTGGGTTTTGGAGCATCGGGCTTGCAGCTCGAATAAATCAAAAGGCACCCCGACCCTACACCCCTGAACCCTAGCTCTGTTAAAGTTTTCGAAATTCGACAACTGAGGCCCAAATCCCTCCACCTCTCACTACCGAACCGTGAACCTCACAACACGAATCCCGCACAACCCAGGACGCTACAGCCTACATAAAGCCTTAGGCTCTAAGCCGCTCCTGCCCAAAACCCTATTCCTTGCTAAATTTTTGACCGAAGAACTATCTCGAGGGTGCTGGTAAACTTTAGTGTTCTTGGGAATTATGTTTGTGTTTACTTTTGATAGAACTCCAGAGGAGTATCAACAATACCATAGTCGTTGTGGTTCTAAGGGTGCTTGTAAACACGGAGCAAAAGCATCCTAAAAGCACACACCAAAGTGCGCAGCAAGTTTATTACAACCACGGTTCAACCACGCTTGAACCCTGACCCCCCCTTAAATCATCGCACAAATGACATGCAACCGTTCCAAAACACACATGTAAAGCCTACATAAAAATCATGCTTCTAAATCGCAAAACACTGGGCAAACCCTAAACCCCAACCCCTGAACCCTAAGCCCTAAACCCTAAATCGTAAGCTCCAAACCCAAAAACCGGAGGACAAGGCTCCGGGAAGGTTGGTCTTTGTGAGCAGCGGTGCGGGAGCTGCAAACTTGTCAAAGATGTCAGAGGCGAGCCGGGGTCCGTTCTGCTTTCGTATTTTTTTTCTGTTTGTGCTGTTTTAGCGTTTGTGCTGATGTTTTAACTCGCTTTCTTTTTAAAAGGTGCTTTATAGTGTTCAGTTTTAAGGATAGGGTTTTCAGGGCTTGGGGGTCTATGATGGAGCGGTTGGTGTAATATAGACGCCTAACAAATTACGAATACTATTCCTTAGGGTTCCTGATTATAACTATACTATAGAGGAGCCCAAAACCCTATTCTAAACCCTAAGCCCTAAACCCTAAACCCTACATTGTGTACGAAAGGTTCGGTTCAGGAGTACTGCAGGTTCGGTCGGGAGCTCGAGGGTGCCGTAGAACTGGGGGATTCTGGGTATCACGCTTTAGGGTACAGTTTAGCCTTTAGGGCTTGGGGTTTACTAGAATCTTGGGGGTTTAGGCTTAAGAGCTTAGGAAACCCCAAAACCTAAAGAGAGCAATTGAGCGAATTTGCGGGAGGAGCGGCGACAAGAACTTCTGGAGTTTTCCGAGCTGTCGGCGATGACGTCCTTCTGTCATGAGTTCATGGCCGCTTACGAGGCCGCAGCCCAAGAACAGGCAGAAAAGCCACTGCCGCACCTGCACAGCGGCTTTTGGCTGCAGTCATACGGCTTCTCGAAGGCGTGCTTGAACCGAGGTAGCCTTTTGGGATATTTTTTATTTCCCCTTGCTGGGCCTAAGAGGATCTTCTTCCCGAACATTTTTCAAAGGCTTCAAAGGGCCAACCCTAAACCCTAAACCCGAAACCCTAAACCCTAAACCCTAAACCCGAAGCCCTAAACCTAGGAACCGCTACTGCAAGATCCTGGCTTCGAAGCATCAAAGCCTGAGCTGCGTCGCCTGCTCCCCTGGCTTCGTGGATACGGAAACTGGGTTCTTGCTAAGGAACTTCTATCTAAGTTGCCATAATAGGGTTTAGGGTTTAGGGTTTCGGGCTTCGGGTTTAGGGTTTAGGGTTTAGGGTTTCGGGTTTTGTGTTTAGGGTTTAGGGTTTGGGGTTTAGGGTTTAGAGATTAAGCTACCGCAATATGGATCTAGAGCAAATGATATGGTTTCCTTGCTATCATAGCTTAAAATAAATCCCTAATCTCTAAACCCTAAACCCAAAACCCTAAACCTCCCTTAAACCCCAAACCCAACCCTTAACAAGAACCCAGGAAATGGTGAAATCCTACCGGGGCGACTCGAAGTTGAAGAGCGTGGAGGAGGGTGGCCCGAAACCCTGAACCCTAAGCCAGGGATGGGGCAAACAGGTTTGGAGTTAAGGGTTGAGGGGTCTAGGGGTTTAGTGGTTTAGGGGTTTAGGGGTTTAGGGGTTTAGGGTTTAGGGTTTAGGGTTTAGGGGCTTTAGGGTTTAGGGTTTAGGGTCTAAACAGTATAAACGGAGGTCGGCGTTCGACATGTCTAAACATGTTGAAAATATTTTGGGTTCGCAGGTTTGAGCATGTTTAAACATTTCGCGGGTGCCGCTTGTTTCAACATTCGTCCGTGTGGCTGCCTGCAATAGTTCTTTGTACCAGCAGAGGGCCTGAGCCCTGAACCCTGAACCCCAATATAGGGACTATTTTGGGGGTTCCTTCTTATAACTATAATATAATATCCCTCAAAACCCTATTGTAATTATTAAGGCCACTATACCTCAGCACTAAACCCAAAGCCCCGCTCCCTAAACCTTTGTGGAGGAGGGAGGAGACGTCTGCGCCTGGCTTGCCTGCTGCCCTTCCATCGACAACGGCTACTACAACCCAGACCGGATCGTTTCGGTGGGGGGCTAGTTCGAAAAAGTTAGGGTTTAGGGTTTAGGGTTTAGGGTTTAGGGTTTAGGGTTTAGGGTTTAGGGTTTAGGGTTTAGGGTTTAGGGTTTGCCAACGGTCGAGGGGTCAAGGTAGGCTTCAAGATCTCAATCCCAAAACCCCGGAACTCTGAAGCGTTAGCTTAAACCAAAGGCCTTAGAGCTACGGGTGGACGGTTCAACTCTTCACTTTGGGTTGACGATTTCGCAGACCTTTCAGCTCCATTTAGGGGTTTCTTATCGTGATTTCCTGATACGAAACCTTAAGAAGATAGGCTGTTTGGGGTTGACGTAAGGTTCAGGTTTAGGATTTCTGTTTATCCCGAAACCTACTCTGGGCCCCTCTTGTGGGAGATCAGCATTGAGTTCGAGGGTCTGGGTTTTCCGAAGGTTTCCCCGTCTGCAAGCTGTCACCCAACCCCAAACACTCGGGGGCCACTGTCCCTCAAATGCCTGTAAGGGTGGTACTTTCTCAACGGGCAGAGCCTTGCGCATCAGAATGCTAAACTGCCGGAAGCATCGATTCATCGTGTATTCCTTGTAGAGGAACCAGGCGGCTTTATCCATTCGCGGTGGCTTCCCGTGGGCATTCCGGATCCGCTATATAGGAGTTTCCGACAATTAGGGGTACCTCATTTGGGGGTCCTTATAATAATGATCCTACTATTTAGGGTACTATATTAGGGTCCCCTATTTTTCGAAACCCCAATATCTCTGCAGCTGGCTTTGGACGGAACCCGCAGCTCCACACCCAAAGACTGGTAGGCCAAAAGGGTTTAGGGTTTAGGGTTTAGGGTCTAGGGTTTAGGGTTTAGGGTTAAGGGTTTAGGGTTTAGGGTTTAGGGACACCCAAAGACTGGTAGCCCCAACAGGGTTCTGACCCAAACTCCTCAAAAACCCACACCCGTCAGCCTAATACTTGCAAGCATCTTCCTCTTCAACAGGGTCCCAGAAAGCATTGACAAGATTTCTGGAGCCAGATCGCAAGTTCATGTGAACCCTAAACCCCAACACCCCAAAACCCTAAACTAGGGTTTAGGGTTTAGGGTTTAGGGTTTAGGGCCCCTAAGCCCCAAACCCCTAAACCCAAAACCCCAAACCCCAAAGCCCTAAACCCTAAACCCCTAAACCCTACAACCCTAAGCCCCTAAAGGAACCCCGAACACCCCCAGCGCCTGCCAGGGCTCCTTGGCCTCCGCCCTGGGCCCAAGGAG